CGCACGTTGTGATGTAGCATACGAAGTTGTCAACTGACCGCGTCCGGTATCAGGCGGTTTCCACGGAATCCCGGCAGCGGGTTTCACGTGCTTGGATTTTGTTAGGATCCCGAGCTCTACTTCCCCTCACGCAGGGGGAATCCCAGTGGTAGTGGGTAGCGGCAGCGCTGGGCGGTATTACCCTGGTTGAACAGCTGCGGGTCGAACCGACCGCCTCCGGTGAACACGCCCGTGGCGCCCTCTAGAAGGTGGCGCAGCCAGGTGGCGCCACTCCCGGGGAGGGTGACAAGGGCGACCGGCGGCAGCTGGCCTGCACGAGCGAACCTGTCCGCAGAGGAGCTCGTTTGGAGGCACGCATCGGCGGCAATGGCAACCCGGGAGATCACTTCAGCAAGATTCACGTGCATTACACAAAATGCACGTGACTGACGTGACGTCACAAAAAACTTACCTGTTTGAAAGCTGCGAAGCTCTCTATCTTCAAGGCAATGGTAAAAGAACACCTCGGTGGGAACACATGGCTTAAAACATATGAGGTCATGCAACGCAAATTTGAAAAGCGTGGTTCGTACCTTCGTTTTATGAAACTAGGCCATAGTCACGGCCAAGGCAGCCCTGTTAGCACAGTGGAAATTGATCGGAAAAAGTCATGTTACAGCACTGACGCATGATCACGCCTTTCGTGTGGCGATGTAAATCATCACGAGTTTCTAAAGAGGGTATGACTAGAATTTCGACCTTTTATGCCGACTTTTTCGAAACGGGGATGACGTTCACAAGACTGGTAAACCATGCCCCGTGTAGACGGATTATTGGAGTGGTGTCCAGCGTTCACCGCCCAGTGTCCTCTTGGGACCCCTGAAACCCGCGCAGGTGACACTGGAACGACCGACAGGGCCATACGCTGCACGGAGGAGTCAGTCTGGGGAGCGAGCAGCCCAGGGTGGACGAGCCAGCGATGCCCTGCACTACGGCGGGTCCTCGCTGCATAACAGCCACAATTCCTCTGGCTGGTGCTGAGGCCAGTGATGGCATACACAGGTTTCGGGTGACTGTCGTGGGTCGCGTCCACGTGGAGTGGGTCCTCCGTCCGGTGGCTGTGTTCAGAGTACACGTGTGGACGACTCCGCTGGGCTGTGCAATGCTTTCACAAAGTATGGAATGGCGAAATGACGTCAAGGAGGCGAATTTAGTCGTTTATATAATAGAATAGTGTTACGATGTAAACGCATGAAGTTGCTAAAGATTTGCCAGCGTGTCCGGCTTATAAATCGTTTGATGCCAAGCTCCATAAGGATCCAACTAAGCTCGTCTCGGCTGGGTATCAACACCAGGCTCGACACCATGCGTCCGGTTGCATGCGCCTCTTGTCACTGCGAGCGGATAAGGCAACCTAAACGTCATGTCACGTGGAATGTAAATCTTGTGGACATGCCGTCAAACCGGTCGAGCACTTACGCTGAAAAATGCGGGGCTTTCTACGAGGTATTGAATTGCCAGATATCGAATAGTAATGAAGTCATTCAACATGGAAGTCGTAATTTTCGCATTAATCTGGTCATTCAGGTCGTCGGATGCCGTACGTCTCTTGCAACAGGTGCATGACGTATGTCATTTATCACCGAGCCAATAACCTCTACACAGTATCTGTTAGCTGCTGCCGCACCCAACGCCCATCTTACCTGACCACGTGGCGTGCGCAGTCGTCGCGGTCTGGCCAGCGCACGTGCGCCCATCTTACCTGACCACGTGGCGCGCGCAGTCGTCGCGGCCGGGCCAGAGCACGTGCACCCATCTTACCTGACCACGTGGCGTGCGCAGTCGTCGCGGCCTGGCCAGCGTACGTGCGCCCATCTTACCTGACCACGTGGCGTGCGCAGTCGTCGCGGCCGGGCCAGCGCACGTGCGCCCATCTTACCTGACCACGTGGCGTGCGCAGTCGTAGCGGCCAGGCCAGCGCACGTGCGCCCATCTTACCTGACCACGTGGCGTGCGCAGTCGTCGCGGTCGGGCCAGCGCACGTGCGCCCACGCGCTGGTGTTGAAGCGGAGCCGGCGGCCGCGGTGCGTGACACGCGGCTCGGGCGGCGCGGCGGCGTCGCGGCGCGCCAGCCAGGCGCCGTACGTGAGCCGCGGAGTGACCAGCACAGGCGTGTGCCGCGCGCGGCCCGTCAGCAGCAGCAGCGCCGTCACCACCAGGAAGAGCAGCGCCGCCAGGCGCACAGCCCGGCCGGCGGTCAGGCTGAAGAGGTCCGGCTCCGGCGACGGTGCCGACGCCGGCGTGCGGCCGCCGCCGCTCCGGGGAGCCCCGCGCGGTCGCTTGCGCAGGAACGGGGCGATCGCCGCCAGCTTCAGCATGGTGCAGCGGGTCTGCTGGATCGCCGTTGGCGGCGACTGACCGGTGACGGGCCGTCCCGGTCGAGGTCTGACCTTCCTCTATTGGCGCCGGCGGACTGACTCACGGTGGCCCGGCTCGGGCTGCGCTGTCGGCGCTGGCCGGCGTCGGGGGTCACCACGCTGGTGGTGTTCCGGACGACCTGCCGCGAGGGTGTCCACCGGCCGCGTCCTGGCTTGACCCGTCGACCGTCCCCACCGCCGCCTCGTCCACGGCCAGCCGGGTCGGCGTGTGTCGCGGCCGTAACCAGGCCGCCGCACCGTCGAGTATCGACCGGCGGTGTGGAGGGGTCGGCGGCGGCCAGAGGGGCACAGCGGCGACACGGGCCCGCCGTCACTGACCTACACGGCGGCGTCACAGACCGGCACAGCGGCGGCACGGGCCCGCCGTCACTGACCTACACGGCGGCGTCACAGACCGGCACAGCGGCGGCACGGGCCCGCCGTCACTGACCTACGCGGCGGCGTCACAGACCGGCACAGCGGTGCCGCGGGGGGAGCGTCTGGGCCTGTCTCGTCACCGACAGACAAAACGGTTTACCCTTGGACAGAGATGCATGCTTGTACACGCACTGTGTTGGAGCGCTCATGTGCCACCCAGGTTTCAAGAAAGCTCTTCATTTCAGATGACGATGCAGGCTTATGACATGATGACATACTTAGCAAAATGGTACAGTTCCGGACTTGGTTCGCTAGGTTGGGTCGAATAATTTTGCGCTTAATTTGATTCGGATATTTTAGTGACACCCCGGATGCTATATTTCCACATGCATCGCATAAACCAATCCGCTGATTTGTTGGGAGCCATGGCCTAGCTGTGTGCCGAGTTTGAGCAGAATCAAAGCGATCGTGCCCGAGCCGCCTATACTGACGGTCGTTTGATCTCAAGCGTGTTGCTTGGCATCATAATTTTTTGGTTATTTATCGCACATGTAGCATCAAAGGGAATTAACGTCACTAAGCCTGGCGGAAATGGGGTGTCGATCAACACTGACGGACGACAGGATTACCTCTGGGGACCACCTGTTCTGATGAGCATAATTGCCTAACCTTTACTGTCATGTATTATCGTGTCATTCATTCTCGCCTCCAGGCGCCATCTTGTTTGGCAGACGTGGATTGGACACGGCAATGAGACGACGGGAGAGGAAAATGCGTTGGCGCAACGCTGAGCAAATTTGGCGGAGGAATTCTTACTAGCACTGGCACCAATAACTTACCGAGAAACCTCATTTTCTGGTGTTACCGCACATATATTTTTGGCTGACCAAAGGGACTTATTAACTTTGGCACTTATATTGTTAACTCTGGCACTTATTTCCTTCTGAGCCTGACATGGATCTGGATCCACCGTTCACACAGCAACTCATGACGTGGTGGGCGCGCCTCCTTGTGTTTCTGACTTCTCCGAGAGCTAGACTGCAGACAATTGATCGCAAAAATGAGTCACAACACGATGCAAGCGGATGGAGATTTGACCACAACGCGGAGACGCTCCACGATGCGACGGACCGTGCAGCAATCACGACGTGGGCGTTTCGTCAGAAATGGGCGCTCGTTTGCAAAAGCCTGAGGCCTGTCCATCTGAGATGGCTGAGGACCGTAAACAGCTCTGCTGGGGTCAGCACAAAGCGTGACCCGACGGCGGGACAAGCGCTGGCATGCCCCAGCATAATCCCACCGTGGCGCGTGGCGATCCGCTCTGGCGCGGGCGTGTCTGCTGGTCACACACTCCCCTTCCCCCGCCCGACCCGTCCACATGGCCGGCATACAGCGTGTACCATCCGGGTAATGCTCCTTCCGATGCGGCTGATGCCGGAGGCCTCACGCACAGTGCCGCGTCCCTGCGAGCTTCAGTACACCGGCAAGTCACGACGGCCTCGCGCGTCAGGGTCAATTCAGGGTCGGGGTCAGGGTCAGGCGTCAAGTGACCCGTGATGGCCTGCGGCAGGCCCGGGTCCAGTGGACATCGCGCGCTTTCTCGGCGTGGGTTAGAGATCAGACTCCGGGCATCGGTTTGAACTCATCTAGAATGACTGCTGCCATTATGAAGGCAAGGCCAGTGCCACAGTCATCACCAAACGTTTAGGTGGTAATATGATGTCGTTTTTTTGTGAATGACAGACTTTATAAGCTGGCAAATCTTGAAGTTGCTTCAAATATTTCAATTTGTGTTCATTCTGCACGGATGGCGTCAGCGTTACATTTTGGAGTCTTTGATTAATGTGAACTGAATGCGTTTTCGAAGCACAGTCCACTTTTTTTATTGAACCTTGCCCCAAATGTATTGATGTCGTTGACTCCTGTGTTCTGACTGTTCTGAAGAGGGTGTTCGTCTAAAATGCTGGCCCTATATATATATATATATATATATATATATATATATATATATATATATATATATATATATGTACATGTGTGTGTGTATGTGTGTGTATACATACATATATCTATATAACTTAACTTAACCAGCTAGGTCCGACCTCCGCCTGGATAGGGACCGCGTGGTGACCCCCAGCATGCCCCCGACCTGACTGGTACCGGCACGTCACTCGACACTGACGCTCGCACGCCCACCGGCCTTCTCCAACAGGCAAGACACAGCCAGCAATTTAATAATTATATTATTTAATAAAGATCACGGAGTCCGCTGTGGCTGCAGGCCAGTCTCGCCAGCGCGGGGCACCCGGCTGTCTTTTGTCCAGCGGCCGTCTCTGCCTCGCCCGAGCCGTCGCAACGCGGCACGGCCCCTCTCGTCACTCTCGGAGCGCGGGACGGCCCTCTCGTCACTCTCGGAGCGCCACCTCTCTCGTCGCTGCCGGTGTGGGCGCGGCGCCCCACCGGCGCCCGTATCACACAAACGCACGGGCGCTATATCACAGTCGCCGGCCGGCCGGCCGCGGCCGCCCCGGGGGTTCCGGCGCCGGCGCGCGCGTGGCGGCGCCCGGCTAAGGGCTAGGGTTAGTCTCGGGACAGACACCGGGTTAGGCGCCGGCGGCGCGGCGCAGTGTTAGTCTCGCTCGGCGCCGGGTCCGTCTTCGGGTCGGGCTGCGCTGACGGATCCGGATACCGGTCACAGCACGCGGCGAGCCCTGGAAACAATGAGGCGAGCTTGAGACACGGGAGACACAGGAGACACAGGGGACAAAGGAGCACAAGCTAGAGACACACGAGTCACAGGAGACAAGCTGGAGACACACAAGTCACAGGCGACAAGGTAGGGACACACGAGTCAAGGAGACGAGCTACAGACGGAGGACATACAGGAGACGAACTAGAGTTACAGTAGGCTCAGGGCACGAGCTGGAGACGCACGAGTCACGGGAGTGCAAGCTAGAAACACAAAAGTCTGTTGGGGCGGCGCAAACATTGTGAATCAATCCGTGCGCATATTTTTCGTTACGGGGTAGGGCTCCCAGCAGTTCGATTGGAGCGGAACACACCTTCATGCGTTGCAAATTTACCTGTGCAAGCACGTGCAAACATTTGCGTATTGCAACTTACGTCATGGTCGAGGCAACCACCGCAGCGCCAATCAAGGTCGGCGAGCTCTCGACGTAGCCGCGGTGTGCTTTGGGCTTTTGGCTGTGGATCTGGTGCTTTTCATGCGTGGGTCTGAACGCACCACCTGGAACACAGTTCAAATAATGACACGGAAAGAGTGTCAAACCGTGTCTGGGGAGAGGTGCCAGCGCCTTGCGATCCCGTGGAGATGGGGTTCATGGGTGTAACTCCGCCTCTGATACTGGGGGTGGGGGCGACTCCGGGTGGGAGGGCTCACACTGGGATCTGGAGATGACGGCCTGCCACGAAAATGACATTTTGTGTGAGAAAACATAAAATTGTGCTCTCTGCGATCAAAATTGGAGGGGACAAGATCCCAGTTTCGGAAAAATTGGGTAGCATATTCCCAGTCCCGCAGTGATATCATTCATGATGGTGTACATTAGGCCCAAGGCACACACTTGAGCTGCACGTCGGGTCGACTTCGTGGTGTCCTGTCGGGCATGGCGGAGTGATGACAAATGATCCATCCGACTCACATTGATTTGCTTTAACTGAACACACTGTGCACGTGAATGCATACGTGAATGTACTGAAGCCAAGCCCAGCCAGGCACACATTTCATTAATAAAATTTGAATACACTTGACGAATAACTCTGCAACATGACCATTGGCTTGGAAATGCACGACAGAAATATCATATTTGCTGACTCGCTGGGCCCAATGCCTTATGACGCGTGGCATGACGTCACTTCAGCGCACAATGCTCCTCCCACGTGACCAGCGGGCTGGTTACAGCATGCTGCCATCCTTCAACAAAGCGTGTTCACGCCTCCCATTGCAGTGGACACCTGACGTGAAGCGCAGGTCACCGCGCACTGCGGCTGCCGTCCTGCACTGACCGCTGATGACCTCCGTGGTGGTGATGACCCGCTTGGCGCCCTCCTTGCCGCGCTTCCCGCGGTCGCCAGTGGTCGTGACCTGGGTGGTCACCCGCTTCTGCCCGCCCGTCGAGGCCATCGTCCGCCGCACCAGCTCCGACGATGTCACCCCTGGCGGCGGAAAACGGAACCGCTGTCGGCCGGCGCACGGAGAATGGAACCCCAGCGTCTTGGCTAATGTGTGTCAGGGGCCAGAGAAGTGTTGACAGCAATGACCAGAAACGCGCCGGGTAATACCTAGCGCCAGAAATGCATTGATGTAGGGATATGCTCCACTGATCGGTGAACACACTTTCCGTTTCTACGCGGTGCACAATAGGCACGGCCGACTCCAGGAGTTCCACAAAGTGAGTTCGAGGGGCTGAGCTGCGAAAAATGACCGAACCTCACAAAAACAAAAACAAACAGGTTTCTCCCCAGCTTTGACTCGCTTTCTTTGCAGAGTTGGGGGGGGGGGGACTGGAGCACAAGTTGGGGGAGAGGGGGGCTGGCTGAAGTCATCCCCCCCCTGTCTCCAATTGGATAGGAAGCTACACCCCTGGCCGACTTTAACATCAAGTACTACTGCAGCTGATCTCCTAAAGAAGGATCTATTGTCGCAGCACATGAAGCCATCTGCAAGGCTTTGAGCAAACATTAGTCACATGGAGTCTTTACAGGCCAATCAGCGGAAACTAGCCAACAAAGACGGCTTTGTTCCAGCACCAGAAGTTAGTCACCCAACGACATGGTGGAAAGCTCATGGCAAGCCTTACCGTTGCGCCTCTCTGCCAGCGGAGCACCGCTCACCCCACCCGTCCTCGTGCGCACTTCGGAGATGACCAGTGGCGCGTTTGTTTTCAGCTTTTGCCGCACCACCGTGCGTGTGGTGCGCACCTCTGGCCTCTTGGTCTGCTCCGCCCGCCGCTCGTGCGAGCCTGTCTTCGTGACGGTGGCGTGGGTGCGGCGCGTTTGCGCCGCCGCCGGCGCTTCGCCGTCCGCCGGCTGCCGCTTCTGTCGTTTCGCTTCGGGGCTGGTCGGAGGCAGCGACTTCTGCTCGGCGAGGCGTGTGCGCCGGGTCTCGCCGTGGTGCGTGGCCGCCGGTCGGGCCGCGTGACCGCGAGCGGGCTCCTCGGCAGCGCCGGTCCTCGTCGTCACCGTCCTCCGCGTTGCGTGGGAGGCGGAGCGCGGCGTCGTGCGCGGCGAGGAGGGCACGCTGCCCGACGTCAGCAGCTTCTCGAGCGCCGACTCGACACGCAGTCCGATCGACTCTCCAAGCGACCTTGGCTCGGGCTGGCGCGCTCGTGCCGGCTCCAGGGAGCGGGTGCGCGCCGGGCCGGCGCCGGCGGCCGGCGGGACGGCGCCGCGCCGCTCCGGCCGCTGCTGGCGGCCCGGGCGCTCGTCGGCCCGCCGCCGCTGCTCGGGCGTGGCGCGTGGCTCCGGAGCGCGCGACGGCTGCTGCTCGAGACGCTCCGGCGCCGCGCGGTCGGCCGCCGGCTCGCCCGGCGGCCGACGGACGGGCGACGGCGAGGCCTGCCGCCGCCGCGGCGCTGAGGAGGCGACGGTGGCGCCCTCACCCCGCGCCCCGTCTCCGCTAGTCGGCACCACCGTCGGCGCATCTGTGGACACGGCCGATGCTGACAGCCAACCGCCTCCGCAAGCCGACGCGGCTCGGTGTGAGCTTGTGTAGCGCGCGAGTGCTCCCAGGAATGGTTCGATGAAACAAAATACAGCGGCATACAACGTGCCGTGAATGTCTTTTTCAAGACCTGTGGTATCCATGCGGGACCTTTCCTGGAAGCATGGTTTACAGGGACGCTCCGCCAAGCTTGCCGCAGCCCAAAACCCAACCGACACCGAATATTCACAAGCGGCATCATCTCCCACGCTCCAAGGTGAGATTGGACGCATAACCGTTGTCGTCCGCTACCGCATCGTCAGTAGGCAGATATTTCCGAGAGCTTACCTGGGCTGGGGTGATACACCCTTCTGATAATGACCGGCGCTCTCTGGGTGGCGCCAGCAATGTCTGCCACTGCTGTACTTGAGATCTCACTCCTTAGCCCATTCATCTCCTGGAATCCAGCGGCGGCCTTGGTGAGCATGCTTCAGCGCCCCAGATGGCACTCTCGGGGATTTACACAAGGAAACGGAACGTTACGTCGTTTGAAAATGTCGGTTTCAAGAACGCTACATTCCCGGACGACGTATCTTTTACAAGTCAAAATCTGGCAAGAGGTGGCAAACATTCATACCGGCAGGTGGTATGAAGGCTGTGTTGACATGATGTTGACCTTGCGCATTTCATTCATGTTGGTGTTCCCGAGCAGTCTTCAAGCATTAAAGCAGAGGTCACAACGGTCCACCCCATCTGAACGTCTGTAATGGCCCATAAAACACGCCATCACATGGCTGCCATGACGTTTTCATTGCACTGCTCACGGTGATCGAACACGAAAGGCGACTTGCCTCGACTGGCGCGGCTAGCGCTGCCCTATCCTGCTCACCTGGTGCGGAAGCCGCTGGGCGGCGCTGCGGTCGCGGGACTCCTCCGGCAGGGGCGAGCGCCGTGGCGAGCCTTCCCTCCGCACTTCCAGCTGGCGGACCACCTCCGGCGGCGGCGAGTGCCTCGGCACGCTCTCCCACTGCTCGTCCACCTGTCGGATGGTCTCCGACGGGGCGGAGGGCCCGGAGGGCTCCTCCCACTCCACCTTGCGGGCCGCTTCCGCCGGCGAGGCAGAGGTGCGCGGCGAGCCCTCCCACTGCATCTCCCCCTGACGCGCGGCCTCCGGCGGGCCGGCGGGCCGCAGCGGCTGCCGCAGCTCCACCTCCACCTCCTGCACCAGCACGGCGGTGGGCCGCTCGAGCCCCGGCCCCGGCTGCGCCATCTCAGACACGAGCCGCGAGGCCGTCGGCCGGACCGCCGAGTCGGGCCACCCGGCGTCCGCGCGGGCCCCCTCCGGCGCGGGCGATCCGCGCTCCTGGCGGCGCAGGTCGGCCACCCCGCGCAGGATGTCGCTGACGGCCGGGCCGGCGCGGCTGGACGCCCCTGCAGAGGTCGAGTCAGGTCAGGCAGGGTCAGGGCAGGCTGGGTCAGACCATACAGGGTCGCGTGACACGGAATCGGATCACATAGAGAGGCAGCGTGCGTAACTAAGCCCATAGGCGGACGAACGTGCCCGACATAGGGGGGGGGAGGGGTAATACCGACTTGGAAGTCGATTATCTCCGTGCGTCATAGTGGGCTTAAAGCTTAATATTCCCAGAAGTGTGTAAGCGTCGGGGGGGGGGGGAGGGGGCATGGCCCTCCCGGTCCTTGCTCCTACGGCTATGACTGATAACCACAAAGATCATTCAGCGCGGTCGGCTCTCCAGGAAGGTCACACATCAATTCAATCTGGGCCAAAGAGCTCTACCCAGCCCTGAGAGAGCCGGACATGTTCACGCAGAAGCTGGACAGAACAAGTACGGCATGCCGTCACCCCCGGTCAGGTCAAACCGGATGATATGTGACGGGGCCAGGTCAACCGAACCACATTTCGCGGCGTCAGGGCAAGCCGTGTGAAACCATTCACATTCAGGGCGCGCTGAATCACTTCACGTGATGAAGACTTCGCTCATTCGCCTCATAGTGATAACCAAAAGGACCCAGACACATACAGTTGGGGGCGGTGGATTCCTTGCGCACATCAATCCGCATATTAGCTGTTAAGATTTGAAAGAGAAGTGATCTTAACATCAGCAATGCGCTTGGTAGTGAAATCCCGCCACGAATGGGCAAACAACAGCTGCGGCGGGGTATATTTACGCAGCACACGACCGCGGCGAGCACACACCGCTTAATGGATAAAGGGTATTTACAGTCTGGATTTAACGATAAATGGTACCATCGGCATCACCTACCGCATCTGTGGGGCTTATTTGAGCGTGAGGCGCTTGACCTAGATAGTCAGCCGTGTTAGCTCTCCGTAACACGCCGCTCCATGGCCTTGCGTTCGGAAGCGCACCGGCCGTGAGGCCGTGATCTCTAGAGACAGCGTGGCATGTCCGACATCAGGCTTACTACCTACCAGGCTGGGGATCCCATGCTGTTTCGAATGGGCGCCACGGCATGCTCGGCTGTGGCGTGAAAAAATGAGGAGCGGCGTGGTATCGCGATCTGTAGCCTATTCGCACAAAGTTAGCCAATTGGCGCCAATCCGCCGTCATATTTATCCTCGTAGTCGGCTTGCAGCATAGTGAGGGTATTTTTGATCTCGTGAAGTCGGAGAGTTGCAACATAGGTCATCACGTACGAGCGGTCCACTTGTTTTTTAGGAAGGCCGTGCCCTCCTTGACGTATTCTGGGTGTCACCCCGGAAAGTGAACGTGTTCTTGATCTAGTGAAGCTCGAACGTCATATCAGCGAGCCATCACCTGTGCGGTCTTATCGGAAAGAGGCGTTGCGGGTCAGGGAACCGCTTACGTATTCCCGACGTCCGCCCAATAGAATGACGACATCTTGGCGGGCGGCCCGATCGACTCGCCAGATCAAGGAGCGGCAGACTGATCAGATGCCTCTCGACGCCGCATCAACGGCCGTTGCGCGGCCAGTGACCGTGGCCGAGGCGTCACGCGTCGCGAGGATCGACCCGGGGGCCACCGATCCGCTCGGTACTAATGACCGGCGCGTGCTGGTTAGAGCTCTATCCTTGGAAACCGAGACGCACGTAGCACCTGGGAACCTCGGCGGCCGTGACCGCATCGGCCATGAGTGATGAACGCCGGGTGAATTATCGCTCGCTGGTGCCCGCGATGACAGCCGCGCTGCCGCGGTCCGCGCGAGCGCGCGGCGCCCACTCCGCCGGCGGCCCCCAGCTGCGGCCGTTGGCGGCGGCGGCGGCTGGCCGGGCGGCGGGTCAGCCGGCGGGACCGGACCGCCCACGGACCGGCCGGCGCTGGCCTTGGCTGACAGGTGGTACTGGGCCGGCGGCCGCGGCCGGCCGCGCTGTGCAAAAGCCGACCGGCCCGGCCGGACCCCCGCCGGCCGGATTGCGCCAGTCGGTGACGTCGGCGACGCCCGAGTCGGGCGCCCCGGCGCGCGGGCGCACGCAATTGAGATGCGACGGGCGCCGCGGCGGAGGGACTGCGCGCGCGGGTGCCGATTTTGCAGGCGCCGCGGCGGGAGAGAGCGCGCCGGCGCCCGGCACGGACCGCATGATCTATACACGCGGCACGCGCGCGGCCGCAGCCGGCCACAGCGCGGCCACCGGGGCAACGCGGCCTTGAGCGACGGCGCCTCACGTGGGCAGTAAGTAACGGTTGCGGGCGCGGGACGGGCGGCCCAGCGGCCGTGACGGCTCGGCTCACCTGCGGAGGCGGCCGGCGGGGGGCTGGCCGGCCGACGGCGCTGCTCGGCAGCCGAGTCCGGCCAGCGCATCCAGGCCGGCGACGAGACGGAGCGCGCCTGCGGAGAGCCGGGCGGCGTGCGGAGCTCGGAGCGCCAGCGCGGGCTGGCGGCGGGGCCCGGCCGCAGCGGCGCCGCCGCCAGCCGCCGGTACCAGGGGCGCGCAGAGGCCGCCTCCTCCTCGTCATCCTCGCTGCGCTCCCCCACCGACTGGCGCTCCGGCTCTGGGGTTCCCGGGACGTCGGGCAGCTTTGTGTTGACCTGGGCTCGCCGCACCAGGTCGGGCGGCGGCGAGCCGGCCGACGTCACGCTCGGCGAGCGCGACCAGCGCACCTCACCGTGCGTCACGCCGCGCCAGTTATCGTCGCCGTTCTGCGCGCGACCGCTCCAGCTTTCCACGCTGGACGAGCGCGAGCGACGCCCGGCGGCGGCGGCGGCGGCGGCGGCGGGTTGGCCCATCGCCTCGTCGTCGTCGAAAATCTCCTCGATGACCAGGCCCGAGTGGTTGGAGCTGGCGTCGTCGTCGCCCAGCTCAGTGATGACCAGACTCGGGCTGGTGTCGCGCTCGATCCGGATCGCGTGGATCGTCTCCACCACCGGTCGGCGCGGCGCCGAGTCGGCCGGCGCCGGCCGCGCGCCCTCGCGGGAGGCGCGCTCGCCAAACCCGCTGCCGAACGCACTGCCGAGATCACTGCCGAACCCGCCGCCCAGCCGGCTGCCGAACGTGCTCCCGAACCCACTGAACGCGCCGAAGCTGTTGCGCAGCCGGTCCTGCAGCAGGTCGATCTCGCTGCGGATCTCACGCTTCTTCTGCTCCAAGTCCTGCCAGTTGACGTTGTTGCGGCCGCGGCGCTGCTCGGCGCTGCGCACCCACTCAGGCCGCTCGTCCTCCAGGCTCTGCAGCAGGTTCGGTGCGCTCGTCTTCTTGAGGATACTCTTGAGCGGCCGGGCGCCGCCCAGGTCGAACTCGTCGAAGCGGCGCCGCATCTCGGGCGGGTGCGACGCGAGCGGCTCGCCTCGCTCGTCGAGGCGCTCCAGCCTCGCGGCGGGCGCCGGCGAGTCGCCGCGAGCCGCGCTGGCCGCCGGGTCACGCTCCCGCTCGCCGCGGCCGCCCTGCAGGCTGATGGTGACCGAGGTGCTCGTGCGGTCGACCGGCCGCGGCGCGCCGTTCAGGTAGACTCCGGTTGGCGCGGCGCGCGTCGGCCGGGTGACGTCAGCGGGTGCGCCCGTCCGTATTTGGCGCGGGCTGGCCTCGCCGGGCCGGCCCGGTCGCCCCGACGCCACCACGCGAATGTTCACCGTATGGGAGGCCGGCAGCATCTCGTTCTCTTTATTTTCGCCGGCCGGCGTGGGCGGCGGCGGCGGTGATGTCAGCCGCTTGGATGGGGCGGCGCCGGGGGTGGCCGCGCCGGGCGCCGGGGGCGTGGGAGGCGGCCGCCCGTGCGATACGACCCGTCCCGGCTGATGCGCGTCGCCCGGTGACGCGAACAGGTCTCGCAGTCTGGACACGCCGCCGCCCTGGCTTCGGGACGGTGATGAGAAGCTCATGCTTGGCAGGCTGCTCGGACCAGAGCGGCTGGGCTGGGCTGCGTGCGCGCCGCCCACGCCGTTGCAGAAACTCTGCGGGTGTCCATTTCTCTCGAGGTACCCGTTATCGGACGCGTGGTCTGCGCCGGAGTCCGTCGAGCCGCGCCGGCTGGAGCGCGCCGCTTCAGCCGCGTCGCCCGAGCCGCGCCGGCGCGCTCGCAGCTCCAGCAGCCACGACGGCTCGGCGGCGGCCGGCGGCGCCGCGGACCAGCTGGCGGCGGCGGCGCGCGGTCGCGGCTCGCGCAGGCTGCGCCGCGCGCTGGCCAGCCGCCGCCAAGACGGCTCGTCGCGACTCTCCAGCAGGGCACCGACGGCGCGGCTGGGCGGCGCGGCGTCGGCGGCGCCCAGCGTGATGACCGTGGTGCGCCGCATCACATCGCCGTCCGTCACCGACTGCTGCTCGCTCACCGAGAGGATGTCCGTCACGCTGGCCGCGTCGTCGTCGGCGCCGGAGGGCATCGGCGATGTGGCGAAGCGCGGCCGCGCCGGCAGCGGCGGCGGTCGCCGGCGCACCAGCACCGGCTCGATGCGCTCGTGGTGGACGGAGCCCGGCAGGCGGGCGGACCGCGCCCACGGGCGGTCCGCGAGGCTGGCGGAGCACGCCAGCGTGCGGCCTGTGCGGCGGGCGCCGCCGAGGGTGGGGTCCGACTCGGCTCTGTACGGCGGCCGCTCGGCCGCCTCCTGTGGTAGCACGGTCAGGCTCTGCGCCCGGCCTGCTCGGCCGAGACCGCCGCGGGCTGCCGCCTCCGAACGGCCGCGGGTGACGCCTGGCGGCGGCGACTCGGAGCTGGCACGGCCGTCTGGTGGGCGTCCAGACCCGAACAAGACCGGGGGTGAGTCGAGACCGCACTCGAGCGGACTGTCCGGCTCACCTCCTCTCTCC